CATGAGTATCAATGAAACGGGCACCGCAGCAGCGATGAGCACACTCTTCGAATCTGCAGGTTTGCAACTGGATGAAGCATCGTTGTCCGTGTTCAACCCAGAGATGAAGGTTGTGACCGTCACAGTCACAACTGCAACGACCGCGACCATCACAACTGCAACCACCACGAATCCATTGATTATTGATTGTGACATTGTAGATGGATCGTCCTTCAGCTCGACTTTTCCGTGTTCATGTGGGGCGGCCATTTGTTACGACAGTGAGGCTTGCCATTTGGCGTCCAGCGAGTGTTCTTCAGCAGGGAGCTTATTGGTCACGTGGCCTTGTCAACCGCAGGAGTCGTCTTTTTTCTACCATTGGCGAACCAGCACCGACGGTGCAGCGATTTACTACAGCTCGAGATTGGGCTGGTACATCTACCGCGATCCCGATTGCAGCAATAAGCAGTTGCCTCCCAGGTGGATTTTCGACACTGACAGGCCCAACCCACGCGCAGAGGCAGATCTGGACGAAGACGGAGATTGCAGAATCCTGGGATATTTTGACATTGTCCCCGGCAGCGCGGAGCCCGATGAGCCCCCCCCTCAAGATGCCGTCTGGAACGTCTGGTGTATGGGGCAGGAGCAGCCAGCCGAGAGATTGACGGTCTCCTACAGCATTGTGGGGCCTGCCGTCTGCGACATCGACGACGGATCGGCTTTGAGCTCGGTTTATCCTTGCACATGTGGACGAGCGGAGTGCAGCAGTGGCAAGGCCTGCCATTCAGGGTCCAGCGAGTGCGCTGCAGCAGGTAGCCTGCTGGTCACGCGGCCTTGCTCCAGCGAGGGACTTGAACCGTTGTTCTTCTACCACTCGCAAACGAGCGTGGGCGGCGCACCGATCTACACCACGGAGATAGACGGTATCGCCTATTACATCTATCACGACCCCGATTGCAGTGGGAAAGGTGAACCTCCACGATGGATAATCAATTCGATCGAATGGGGTGGTGAGCCGAATCCGAATGCAAGCGCAGACTTGGACGATGACGGAAATTGTAATGTTTGGGCCTACATAGAGGACTCCAGTGTGGAGGTCCCCCCTTTCAATGGCATCTGGATGTATTATTGCGATGGGGACTACTTGGAGGGTTCAGTCTCCCTCAGCCTGGTGCAGCCGCTTTGCGCAGACACCGACGCTGGAGCCACAGACGCATATGGTGATGACTGCGCCGACTACGCGTTCGACCCCTCGTGGTGCGATACGGCAAGTGTCGGGGATGATGTGGACTTCACTGCTGCAGCTATGTGCTGTGATTGCGGAGGTGGCGGCGCTCAGACTTACACGCCCACGCCGACGGCGGCGCCGACGCTGGAGGCCTGCGCAGACACCGACAGCGGAGCCAAGGATGCAAATGACGATGGCTGTGCCAGCTATGTGCAGGCTCCCTCGTGGTGCGCATTTGCAAGCGACTTTGATGATGCAGATTTCTCGGCGCGAGAGATGTGCTGCGCTTGCGGTGGGGGCCAGACCTTGACGCCGACGGCTACCGCGACCTCCAGCACGACCAGCGAAGTGAGCGCCACATCGACCCATACCAGCACTACAACAACAACAGTACGTTTTAGTGTAAGCAGTTCGGTGAACTTCGAGAGCTCTGGGGCCCAAGAGAGGGTGCAAGCTGCGCTGACCTCACATCTCCTCGCCACGTACAGCCTTGGTGAGGATCAGTTGAGCCTAGTTGTGTTGCAGTCCAATGGGTATCTGTGGCAGGCCGACTTCACGATAGATGCCAGCGAGGCTGCCGCCGAATTGTACTATGAGGCTGCTCTGAACATGAGTGTGGATGTTGCCAGCACAGCCGCGGCACTGAACGCCACGTTCGTATCGGTGGGCTTGCGGTTGATGGAGGCGTCGCTGTCAATGTCAGCGCCAGTCATTCAGCGTGTTACTGTTACAATCACAACCACGACCACCATCGAAGATGCCTGCGGTGAGACGTCGTCGCCCCCTGTCTTTTGGAAATGCTCGTGTGAAATCTCGTACGGAAGCGCGGCCACGCTAGTAGACTGCGTGCTAGGGGAAACAATTGGGGGAAACATTAAGGATGGGCCCTTTGGGGCCGTCTTGAGGCTGCTTTGGAGCCCTTTGTCTTGCCTGCTGGGCCTTGGGGGGAGCCTTCTCGGGGGCCTCCTGGGGCCACCTTAGGGTGTTTGGGGGTCGTCTAACGCCCTCGGCGGCCGTCGCGGGCTATGTGGGCCGTCTTGAGGCCCACTTGGTGAATTGTAGAGCCTTCTTGGGGTGATTATCTTGGGCCGTCTTGGGCCGTCTGGGGGTCTACTTGGGGCCTGTTTGGGGCATCTTATGCTGGTCCTGGGCTCTGGTCGTACATTTCGTGGCCCCACACGGAGCCCCACCGAAGGCCCCAGTGCTATCGCCAGCATGCGCCCCCCCACCCAGCACAGCGTTTCGTGGCCCCAAAAGGACCTCCACCCAAGGTCCCTGTGCTACCGCCCGCATGCGTCGCCCACCCCCAGCACAGCGCTTCGTGGCCTCATAGGGAGCCCCACCGCAGGTCCCAGCGCTACCGCCCGTATGCGCCCCCCCACCCAGTGCAGCGTTTCGTGGCCACGTAGGGAGCTTCACCGACGGCCCCAGTGCTACCGTCCGCGTGCGTCCCCCCACCCATTACAGCGTTTCGTGGCCCCGTGGGGAGCTCCACCGACGGCCAGTGCTACCGCCGGCATGCGCCCCCCCCACACCCAGTGCAGCGTTTCGTGGCCCTATAAGGAGCCCCGCCGAAGGCCCCAGTGCTACCGTCCGCATGCGCCCTCCACCAAGTACAGCGCTTCGTGGCCCCATCGGTAGGTCCACCTCCCAGCGCTACCGCCCGCATGCGTCCCCCCGACCCAAGGCAGCTTTTCGTGGCCCCATAGGGAGCTCCACCGAAGGACCCAGTGGAACTGCCCGCATGCGTCTCCCCCAGCCAGTACAGCGCTTCGCGGCCCCACAGGGAACCCCAACGCAGGCCTCAATGGCACCGTGCACATGCGTCTCCCCCACCCAGTACAGCGCTTCGTGGCCCCATAGAGAGCTCTACCGACGGCCCCAGTGGCAAAGTCCACATGCGTTTCCCCAACCCAGCACAGCGCTTCGTGGCCCCATAGGGAGCTCCACCGAAGGCCCGAGTGGCAAAGTTCGCTTCGCTTTCCCCACCCAGTACAGCGTTTCGTGGCACATAGGGAGCTCCACCGAAGGCCCCAGTGGCAAAGTTCGCATGCGTTCCCCCACCCAAGACAGCGTTGCGTAGCCCATAGGGGTCTCCACCGAAGTCCCCAATGGCACAGTTCGCATGGGTCTCCCCCACCGAGTACAGCGCTTCGTGGCCCCATAGGGATCTTCACCGAAGACGATACCCACAACTACGGTATTCACAACTGCATATGGTTGGGTTCTTCGCCGGGTTTATTTGCAAGGAATGGTTGAGGGGCTAGCATTGTACACATAAGGCAATATGCTGGCCCCCTGGCCGTCTCTGTCAAAAACCATGCAAGGTGATCGCGGGGCGCCCGCGCTTGATCTAGATTTTGGTGCAAAGTGAGCTCGCATTGTGTTTTGCAAGCGACGGTTGGAGGGGGGTCAATTGTACACAGCAGGCAATGTGTCGACACCCCCACCATCCCTGTCAAAACCAAGGCAACATGATCGCGCGGCGTTCGCGCATGATCCAGATGCTGGTGCAACAGGCATGTTGCATTGTTTTTGTGTGAGGGATGGTGTGGTTGGGGGGGCAGTGTCCCTGGTTTGTCGCTGGTCGGGAGTGGGAGGGGGCGTTTATTCAGAAGGAATTGTGATCTAGCTTCTCCCCGAAGGACTGCCGTCTCGCTCACTCCCACCCGCCCTCCCACAGCAGAAGAAACACCTGAGTCAGCATCGGCAAGGGTCGTCATAGGATGGGCAGCCAGTGGGAACCGAAACAGACGCCAGGTGTCTGACGCTCGCGAGGTGCGCCGCGTGTGCCAGGCGCGCCCTCTCGCAGCAGGTGCGCCAGGCGCCCCGGGAGCCGAAGCGTGCCAGGCGCGCCTGGTGCGCCTGCTTCGCCGCGAGCTCCACAGTCATCAGGTGTGCCCTCAGGTGCGCCGCGCGCTCCACCTACGCCACGTCTTGCGCGTCTGACAGCACGCCGATCCCCACGAGAGTTGTGAAAAACCGATGCAGAGTGACAGTGGTCAGCATTGCTATGGCGCGCGCACCAGCAAACAGCTTGCATATGTTTCTGACAGGAATGCACACGCCACGCAAACGCTGCTGATCGCGAGGCGCCCGTGGATGGTCCAGTATTTAGCCGCAACGTGTACTATGCACTGTTTTGTTACAGGTGTGGTGGGCCTGTACAAGCGGGGCTATATGACGCCCCCACCTCCGCCGCCCCTGACGAGGAAGCAATACAGAATGATGGCGGGACGCCCCGGGCACGATCCAGACTTCGCCGCAGACCCGAAGGGACGCAGGACACTCCACTTGGGTACCTGCGGCACGGTGGCGGATGGTGACGCTACAGACAGCCAGCCCGGGCGAAGATTTGGGGAGGCCCCCCAACGCACGGAGTGGGGAAGCAAGAGCCTTTCAATGCAGGCACCGTTCCTGGACAAAGGGCGTGGCGGTGGTGGACCGTCTGACGTCTCCCGGGGTCGACCCGCCCAGCCCCCCAAGACACGGCCGAAAAGAGAGCGCAGCTCGAGGGTTCCAATGTCGAGCCCCACGGGGCCCTTTCGAAGGACATGTTCGACGCACGGACTTCGGACCACGCCCCCGAGACCACGGGGAGAGGTCACGCAGGGAGCCAGGGAAGCGCACAGGGATCCCGTGCGCAGGGGCCTGGCGTTTTTTTTATATATAATATATATATATATATATATATATATATATAGATATAGAGTATGTGTAATATAGCTGGCGTTGGGGGCTCGGAGGGGCCTGGTGGCACACCGCTCAGTGCCTGCGGCACGGTGGCGGATAGTCGACACGACAACCGCGCCGCCTTCGGATGCCAATACGCCAGAAAATGCCTGTGCAGTGCTCCATGGTCAGCGCATCGTCGATGACGGCAGCTGGGCTTACGCGTGCGACGCGTTCGGCATCGGCGGCTTCCCCGTGGACTCCGATGTGGCGTGCCAGTACTTCTGCCACCAGTGCCATGCCTGCGATGCCTGGATGACGGACAGCTTCGGTGACTTGACGTGCCACCTTGTGTCTGGAGCTGTGGTGTGGGAGGCAGACGCTTACAAGAACGGTGGATATGCCTGCGAGGGCTGCGGCGCAGAGGCAAACAATGTTCCGGCGGTCGAGCGAGACTACAGCAGCGTCTTCCACGATTCTGCCAGTAACTTGTCAATGCTCGACTCTGCAAATTCTTGGGGACCCCTGTTCCCAACGCTGGGTCATTGGATGCAAATGGACCTTGGGAGCGTAATGTGGGTCGCGGGCGTTGTTACTCAAGGCCGTAATTCACGGTCCGGCTTCACCCAATGGGTGAGTCGCTACGAAGTGATTCTGACGCTTGACGGCCGCTCCTGGTCCACCGTGGACGGCAGTTTCAAGGGTAATTCCGACATGGACACGCCTGTGCTGGGTTTTTTTCGGTCCGTACGGAAGGCACGCTTCGTGCGCATCTTGCCGTTGGCATGGAAGGGTTGGATGTCTATGAGAGCTGCGGTCCTGACCTTCACGTGCCCCGTTCCCACGCCAGCACCAACGCCGCGTGCTTGCGCAGACACCGACGATGGAGCCACAGACACATTGCTTGCTACTTGCGCCGACTACATGTCTCGCCCCGACTGGTGCCCAAAGACAGTTGATTGGAGTGATCAAGACTTCACGGCGTCGGAAATGTGCTGTGCTTGCGGGGGGGGGCAGTTGGCTTGCGCGGACAGTGACCGTGGAGCCACAGATATCGAGAATCGTGACTGCGCTGCATATGTGTCCGAACCCTCATTGTGCTCAAACGCGCGTCTATATGACGATCCAGATTTCACAGCAACCGACATGTGCTGTGCCTGCGAAGGGGGCCAGGAGTTTTGCGCAAACACCAACCAGGGAGCAACAGACTTGAATGGTGTTGATGACTGTGCCAGTTACGCGTCCAATCCGTCGTTGTGCTCGGCGACAGGCGACTGGGATGATGTAGATTTCAAGGCCGCGGTCATGTGCTGCGCCTGCGGCGGGGGTTGCATGGACAGCGACGCAGGAGCCACGGATACGTTTGGCGTTGACTGCGCTGGCTATGCGTCCAATTCTTCGTGGTGCGACTCTGCAGCTGCCTTCGACGACGCAGATTCTTGGGCTCACGCCGCACCGCCGGCCCCGCGGAGTCTTTGGGTCGCAGAGGCTGTGGGTGGTCCCGCAGGGCGATCCGTCTGAGGAGGAGGAGGAGAAGGAGGAGGAGGAGGAGGAGGAGGAGGAGGAGGGAGGAGGGAGGAGGGAGGAGGGAGGAGGGAGGAGGGAGGAGGGAGGAGGGAGGAGGTGGTGGTGGTGGAACTCTGCGTCTTGTCGGTGCCGACGTGCAGTGGCCCTTATAGTGGGCCGGCTCGGACCTGGCCTGTAGCCAGGTGGAGGGTGTGGCGGGCCCGAATCCTTGTCAGGCCCTTCCGAAGATTTGTTGGGCCCAGGCCGACCCGCTCCTTGGCAAGTCCGCCCGAGCTCCGCAGGGGCTCTCCTGCATAGGGCAGCCCTCTGGGGCTCCCCACGCGAGTCGCAGGTCAAGGCCCCTAGAGGCCCACGGCCTACGGCGTTCTTGCCGTATCCGCTGGGCCCTGGCCTTATTCTCGGCAACCCTGCGCCGCTGGGTGTCGGTCAGAGGGGGACGGGGAGGGAGAGGCGGAGGCGGAGGCGGAGTCGGGGGACAGAGGAGGGGAGAGAATCCGATCACCTCAGCAGCGTAGGCCTCCTCCTCTGTGGGGCCCTGGCTGTCTTCAGGATCCTGGGAGGGGCCCGGGGGGTCCTGGCCCGGTGGGTCTGGGGCCTCAAAGCGGCCCCTCTCAGGGTCAGGCCTGCTGCGGCCCTTTCCCCTCGCGAAGTCCGGGGCCCACTCCCTGGCCCCGTCCTCAGTCGTAGGGATCTCTGAGACATAAAAGTCCGCCAGGCCCTGCACAAGGAGGTGGTGAGACTGGGAGTCATCACTAGGCGCATCCGGGAGCGCTTCGTCCAGAGCCGATTCGAGCGTCTCCAGAATGCTCTCCGCGATGCAGCGGCAGAGGCCCGGGGGGAAGACCTTCTTCCGCGCGGTCCGGAAGGCCCTGGATCCTACCTCACGCCCTAGGAGAGTGGCGTGGGCCTCTCGCCCGTGGGAGCATTTTCCTCCCCCAGGCGTCGCAGTCAGGCGACGGTGGAGCCCCGCCATGCGGAGCCCGAAAAGTCTGGTCGGGGCCCTGCTCAGCTGGCCGTGCTCGCACTGGTCGAAGTCCGTGGTCGTGGTGCACGGCGCCGACTGCAGCGCGAGCCACGGCTCCCATGTCCAGGATGTGACGGCTGCCAGCCGCCAGCTGCACGGGATAGGGTGCTCCGACCACCCTGCCGTGCCTGCCACCAGGTGCGCCGCGAGGAGGAGCACCATGGACTGCATCAGGGCATTCCCCACGGCTAGCTGGACCCTCTGCTGCGGTGCAGCGTGCGCCACTCCCCAGAACTGGTCGTGGGACCTGAGCGGCGGTGGGCCTGGCTGCTCCGACCATCTCGCCGCACTCCATGTCTCGCATGGCTGTCCTCCTCCCGACATCACGATCTGCCTCCTCAGGATCCCTTCGTGGAAGACCATCAGGCTGTCCTGGCGCATGAGGTCGCAGCGCTGCGCATCGATCGCCACGTCGATGCTGAGGACCATGATGTGCACCTTCTCTGACATCACTTCGAACTTCGGCGCTGACTCGAACACGTGCTGTATGTCGTCCTTGCGCCTGTGCCCGCAGAACAGGTTGAGTACGTAGATCTCTGCCCTTTGGATCCTCCACGGGATCTTCTCCTCCGTGGTGACCCCGCTGTACTTGTCGGTGCGGAACTGGTTCAGGTCGTACCTTTCGTCATGCTGAACTTTCGGCTTCTCCTGAGGCCGTTCTTCTGAGCCCTCTTGCAGCGTGGTCCTGGCTACGTCGTCGAGCACGTAGTCTGACTCGAGCAGGACCACCTTTGCATCGTCTTGGCTGAGGGGCACCACGTCTGGCATGGGCCCCGCTGCCTTGATCGCGGGTATGTTCACTCTCTTCCTCAGTAGGCCTCGCGGGAGCTCCTTGCGCATCTCGTACTCCTCGGTACCCGGCGCCTCTCCCGCCTCAATGGTCGCGACGAGGCAGGCAGGCGATGCAATCGCCAGGTGCTCGGTGAGGTGGTGGGTCTGGTCGAACAGCGTCAGGCACCCTTGGCACTGCGTTGCTGAACCCGTCCAGGTACGCGCGAGACTGACCATGGTCCAGTGCTGCTGTGAAATGTGGACCCTGAGCCCTCTTTGGCGCCTGAACGTCCTCTGGCACCATGAGCATGTCCATTGTCTCGTCGACGCTGTGTCCTCGTCTGCCTGCGGGGGCCCGAAAGGGCTGCCTTCTCTCGTGGAATACGGCACTCCCGCTGGCTGCACTGTGGCGAAGAAGCGCTTCTCTGCCATGCGTGCCGCGTGTCCTCTGCTCAGCTGCGCCGCCGCCGCCTTGAGCGTGTCGTTGAGCCTGTACTTCCACGAGGAGTGCGAGCGTAGAATCATCATCTCCCAAGGCCTCAGCTCTTCGTTGGGGTCCGGGAGGTCCTGCAGGTCCGCCGAGTAGCCTTGCAGCCAGCGGAGGTCCCCCATTAGCATCTGTGGCCAGGACTGCCTCTTGGCGTGCTGAGGTCGCAGGAGGAGCTGGGCCATCGTCGCAAAGGCGAGGGGTGGTCCTGCTTGCAGTAGCTCGCCGAAGAGCCTTAGCCTCGCTACTCTCAGCAGGTCCTCCGGGCGAGCCCTTCCCACCTTGGCGAGCAGCGCCTCATCCTCTGCCTCCGGGTAGGCGTCGAGGTCCAGCTCGCCGTCCTCTTTCGTGGCGAATTTTTTCCCCGCCGCTGCCCTGTAGACTGCCATGACCATGGCGTGGTGGTACTTGGCCTCCGCCCTCGTGAGTCCTGGCCAGCTGCCTTGCGAGAAGCACCTTGACGAGCAGACCAGGGCGTCTGCGAAGACCATCTTGGCAGGCAGGTCCAGCTGGTGGTTGCGGGAGACCTTATCTCTCAGCTTCCTGAGAGCGGCTGTGGTGGTGGCTGAGCGGCGGTAGAGCTCGGGGTACACCGCACCGTGGTCGTCGATGACCGTCCCCAGCGCCACGTGGTTGTGCACTGCGTGGATGATGGCCCCCTCGTAGTGCTTCGACCTGAGCTTGACCCTTCCATGGCACTCATGCCATAGGGTACTCCTCGCACCCTTGGCCCCTTGGCCTGCGAAGGCAAAGAGCACTTCTGATTTGCCAGGATCCAGGTTGAGGACGAGGCCGAACTCCGCGAACGTGTCCAGCACAATGCCTGCGATGACTGCCACCGCATCCATCGCCTCGTCGGCCTTGCCGATGAAGAAGAACGTGCCGTCGTCTGCAAAGGCCACGCTGTGGCCTGGTATCTTCTCGAAGTCAAGGTCGCTGTCGAACTGCTGCGCCAGCGAGCGTACGTTGGCTCCTGTGACGAAGATGCCGTAGCCCTCCTCCTCGATCCTCGCCTCCGAGACCCTGATGGCCTCTGCCATGGCGATCTCGTAGATCTGGTCGGCGAGAGGTTGGCCTGGGATCGAGGACTTGGTGCCAAGGGCGACGTGGTCCGAGCTCTCGCAGACGAACCATGAGGCCGTGTACTGCTCCTCGACCAATGCCTTCAGATGCTCGCTGGCCTCCGTACGGTGAAGTAGCGGCATCTCCTCCTCGAGCTTCTTCTTCAGGATCTCCAGGGCCGTGGCCGGGACGGCCGTGGACTCGGCGATCGCGTCTTTGTCTGCCTTGGCCATGGGCGTGCGCAGCACCAGCTCCCTGACCATGGAGTAGAAGACGTTCTTGACGTCCATGAAGATTGCCGCGAAGGACAGCATGTTGGCGGTCGCCGCTGACTGCAGCATCCTGGTGACCACAGACGCATGCTGTGTGCCTCTGCGCCTGACTCCTCCAAATTGGCGGTCTCCTACTGCCTGTGGTAGGTACTCGGCCACCTTTGCCCTGTAGAAGT